ATCCGGGAAGAACATCCGGGTATGGTCTGCGCTCGGCCTTCCTCTTGAAGAGGAGCGCCGAGCACGAGTGTTTGACCTTCATCCGGGAAGAACATCCGGGTATGGTCTGCATTCGGTCTTCCTCCTGCGGAGGAGCGCTGAGCACGGGTGTTCAAGCGAGCTCTTTTCGCAAAAACTTCATTCCATTGAGTTCAACCGAAAAGATTTCCGCTCACTTGTATAGTTTCGGCCCTCCAAAGTGTACCCCGGTGCCCTAGTGCGGACCAACTTGGGCCTTTATTGCATCGTCCGGGAGGGCGCCACCCTTCAAGAAGGCAACTATGTCGTCCATCCAATCTCTCGGCCGAGCACAGATCATCGCAACGGGGAAGGCGTGGATGCTCGGCTCGGACAACTCTTCCATGTTCGCCATCCGCCTGATATGCTCGGGCGTGTCCGAGCTCAGCTTCGACAAGGTATCTGCCTCGGCATTCTCCGCCCGAGGGATCTGCTCCACACTATATGCGGTGAAACTCTTAAGCAACTCTAGAGCGGTATCTCTGTACTTCTTCATTCTTTCGTCCTTCGCCTCAAACTCTCCCGAGACGTGGCCAACCACCAGCTTTGAATCACACTTTATCCTTAGCTTTGTTGCGTTCATCCCGGCTGCTAGGCGTAGCCCGCACAAGAGCGCTTCATATTCCGCTTCATTGGTTGATGCCTTGAAACCGAATCGAATTGAGTAGTATGCTCTGAAGCCTTCGGGAGCGATGACTACCACTCCACCCCCCGAGTTTTTGGCGGCGGAGGAGCCGTCGGTAAAAACTATCCACCAGTCCTCGGCTTCTGGCTCTTCCGGGCTCGGCTCCTCCCGAGCGGTGCACTCCACCACGAAATCAGCTAGCGCTTGGCCCTTGATCGCTGGCCTTGGCTTGAATTCGATCTGGAAAGCTCCAAGGAACACTGCCCACTTGGACATGCGTGAGGGTGCGTTCGGGCTCCTGAGCAGCGCACCAATGGGCTGTTGGGAGAGCACTTGAACCGGGTGAGCTTGGAAGTAGGGTGTTAGACGCTGCACGGTTGAAACCACGGCGAGGACCGTCTTCTCGGCTACTGAGTATCTGAGCTCGGCACCCCTCAGCGTCTTCGCCGTATAATACACCGGGTGCTGAGCTCCGCCTTCGTCTCGAACTAGGACCGAGCTCTAAGCTTTGGGTGAAACTCCCAAGTATAAGTACAAGGTCTCCCCCGCTTCGGGTTTCGCGAGCACCGGAGGAGAGAGGAGGAAGGACTTGAGGGATTCAAAGGATTGTTGGCATTCTTCCGTCCACACGAATCCTCGGGACTTCTTCACCTCTTGGAAGAACGGAGCGGCTCGGTCCGCCACCTTGGAAAGGAAGCGGCTGAGCGCAGCCAACTTTCCGGTCAAGCGCTGCACCTCCTTGACATTTCGTGGAGCTTCCATGTCAAGGATAGCGCGCACCTTCTCGGGGTTGGGCTCAATACCACGCCTGCTCACCATATGTCCCAAGAATTTGCCACCTCCTTGGAAACAAACTCCCTCCGCTCGGATGAGAGGAACCGCTTCTTCTGCTTCACCGGCCTAGCCTCCGGGTTGACTGCCAAGCGGTGACATATGACCTTGCGGTCTACCCCCGGCATATCCCCGGGTCCCCATGCAAAGATCACGCGGTAGGCGGAGAGCACGTCCACTAAGCGCTTCTGCTGGCTCCCGGTTAGGCTCACCCCGACCTTCACCTTCCGCTCGGGTGCTCGAGGGTCGAGCGGCACTTCCTCGACCTCCTCAGCGGGCTCGGCCTTTGGCCGTGCTTCCAGCTTCCGCATTTCTTCTAGTGCGTGCACGACCAATGTCTCATCCCTTGGCAACTTCTTTGTGATTCGGACATAGCATGACCGAGCTAACCTTTGGTCTCCCCTCGCCACCCCGATTCCCGAAGGAGTGGGGAACTTCATGCACAAGTAGTATGGGGAGATCACACATTCCAAGTCCTCAAGGCCGGGCCGCCCTAGGATCATGTTGTGCGCGCAGCTGATGCTCACAACCATGAACTCCATCTTCAACCTGGCCTTGTGCGCACCATCCCCTACTATCACGGGCACGGTGACGACTCCTTCGGCCTCGATGGAGTCCCCCGTGAACCCGGAGAGAGGAGTGCGCACGGGCCTTAAATCTTTGCGGTCCAAGCCGAGGTCTTGAAAGGTCTTCTCATACATTATGTTGATCGAGCTTCCCGTGTCCACCAAGGTGCGGTGCACTATGGCGTTGTTGATCTCCATCTTCACGACTAAGGCGTCCCGATGGGGGCTCGGCGTGTCCGGAAGATCCTTCTCCGTGAATTGGATTTGCTCTCGTCTTCCGAGCTTGGGCGTCGGCGCCTGTTGGACCTTGACGACGAAGGCCATGTGCTTCCACCTCTTTCTTTGAGCGGCGGAGTCCCCGCCGATATTTCCTCCATGGATGAACCCCACCGGATATCCTTGGGCTTCGTCCTCGTCTAGATCATCACACTCTCGCCCAATGTGCCTCTTCCTGGGGTTCCTCGCTTGCGTGGCCACCGCGACCGGCTCGGTCGGCTTCCTCCACGTTCTCCCTTCCGGTGGACCTCGGGAAGGGGCGGCTTCATCGTCTCGCGGAGCCGGCCCTCGGGCGATGAGTCGCTGCATCTCCTTCTGAAGAGTGAAGCATTCCCTAGTGTTGTGAGTGTTGTTGCGGTGATACTCGCAGTACTTGGCGCCGCTGGACACCGCATAGGTCCCCACGTGCGGGAGCGGGGAGAGGGCCAGCTCTCGACCCGTCCCCGCGGGCGCACCCACGGAGTACACACCCGCCGAGGGCGTCCTCGGGCCCACAGAGTGGTCTTTCTTCTTCTTCCTCTTCTTCGCTATCTCCTCTGAATCTGCGGGAGCTCGCTTGGTCGGCGCGGCCTCGGAGTCAGGGGCATCGTCGAATTCCTCCGAGGCCAAGAACTTAGCGCGCGCCAAGGTTTCTTGGTACGTGGG